TGCCTTAACGTACCAGACTTTACCTGTGTGTTGGATGTGTAAATCAGGATTTACAAATGCATGTGTGTGTGTGTGTGTGTATGTGTGTGTGTGTTTATATTAATTATTTTTTTAAAATTCTCCATGCATAATAATATGTATAAGTTGTGGTTTGTGCGCGTTCAATAAAATATGTATTGTGTATATAAATCTCAGTATGTATTGTGTATATAAATCTCAGTATGTATTGTGTATGTAAATCTCAGTATGTATTGTGTATATAAATCTCAGTATGTATTGTGTATATAAATCTCTGTATGTTTTGTGTATATAAATCTCAGTGTGTGGGGAATTCTCGGTATATGTTTGTGCATGGCTGGAAATTTGTGGATTTTCTAAATGTGTGCGTCTGTGTGTGGTTTCTGATCTGGATGCTTCTGTGTGTCTGTGAGTGTGTTCTTGCGTACATGTTAGTGTATTCATGGGTACATGTCTGTGTGTTCATGGGTACATGTTTGTGTGTTCATGCGTACATGTTTGTGTGTTCATGGGTACATGTTTGTTTGTTCATGGGTACATGTTTGAGCACATAGTGTGTGGACGTTTTGTCTCGTAATCGTCTTGTCCTACTGTTTCAGTCTCTGGAGCCCGACCCAATCATGAAGCTGAAGCGAATCATCGGCTTTGGTGGAGCGACGTACAGAGACGTGAGTGCTGTTGTCCGCTGACAAAACCTTTTTTTGTAACTCACAGTTTGGAGAAAAAAGGCATTTTGTCAGGGTTACCGTTAAAGAATAGCTGACGAGACAGTTTCCTTCCTGCCGGTCAGACCGGAGGTTTTGATGACAGGGAAGGAACTCCCAGCTGTGCTACTTCTGCTGATTTTCCCGAGAGAGCAAGATGTTCCGATGTTTTTGTCGAACTAAGCATCCCATAAACTGCATGTCTCTTTCCTATTGTTTTTATTTCTGTTCAGAGCAAATTTGAATGTATTGTCTCTTCCCCCAGTTATTGGTTTGAGATGTACCGAGAAACATGTTTGATCTGCCTCGATTCATGGCTGTTAAGTAAGATGGCATGTCTTGAACAACTGAAGCCTTGTGGATTAGTTCTCTTGTGTTCTGTTTATCCACTACCTTGTACTTGTGGATTAGTTCTCTTGTGTTCTCTTTATCCACTACCTTGTACTTGTGGATTAGTTCTCTTGTGTTCTGTTTATCCACTACCTTGTACTTGTGGATTAGTTCTCTTGTGTTCTCTTTATCCACTACCTTTTTGCTGTAGGTAGATTTATTTCTCTTCTCAGTTTTCAACTTGGATTTCGTTCTCCCAAATTAAAATTAGTTTTTTGTGTGATTTTAATCTTTTTTGAAAATTAAAAGTCGAAGTACATACCATGTTCAAAAAAGACACTAGAACATGGGCAACTTTTGGTGACATCGTTTGAACTTTGGCCCCCAGGCTCTGTGGTCAGCTGACGGTGCGTGTGTCGTGTACCCGTGCCACGCTGTGGTCGTTGCCATGACCATCTCCAGCGGGCTGCAGAGGTTTTTTATTGGCCACACGGATAAGGTGAGTCAGACACACACCCATGCACACACACACACACAGACGCACACACACACATACATACACACACACACACACATACACACATACACACACACACGCACACACACGCACACACGCACACACACACACAGATGCACACACACACACACACTCACACACATACACACACACACACACACACACACTCACACACGTACACACACACACACT